GCCCAGCTGGCCTCCACGTGGTCCAGATTGGCCTCCTGCCCCGGTCCGGGATCTCAACCTCCAGAGGGTGGGAGGCCCGGGGTTATGCAGCTGGTGGCAGAGCTGGGACGAGGATGCAGCTCTTGCCTTCCCGCCAGCTCACCTGGATTTTCTACTCGTTTCCTCCTGCTGTTGCTCTTTTTCTTTTTGGCCACGCCGTGTGGCTTGCGGGATCTCCATTCCCTGATCAGGGATTGAACCTGGGCCATGGCAGTGAAAGCCCGGAATCCTAACCACTGGGCCACCAGGGAGCTCCCCTGCCATTGCTCTTTGCTGCCTTCACTGTGGCTTTACGGCTCTGCACACTCCTTACATCTCTCTGCTTCTCCCCCAGCTCTGGGAGCCTCCTGGCGTCTCAGTCATCCAGGGCGCTTTGGCTCCTATGGCTCTGAGTACCGCTGTCCAGGAGAGGGTGAAAACACATGGGCATTGGGACTTCCCTGGCGGTCCAGTGAGTAAGACTCCGTGCTCCCAATGCAGGGGGCCTGGGTTTGATCCCTGGTCGGGGAACTAGATCCCGCATGCATGCTACAACTAAGACCTGGTGCAGCCTAAATAAATAAATAGATAGATAGACAGACAGATAGATAGATAGATAGATAAATTAAAAAAATATTAAAACAAAAACAGGTGGACCAGCTCTTGGTCCAAATAGTTGGCTCTCCCTGCAGGACCTGGGCCAGGGCCAGGTCAGGGCCAGGAGCAGTGAGACATCACTAAGGACTTACTTCACGCAGAGACCCAGGGAATCGGCCAGGGGTGGGAGGGGTGTGGATGGTCCAGAGAGGCGGAGCAGGATGGTCTCTGGCAGAAGAAACTCCCAGCCCAGCCAGGGGAGACACCCGTGGGGAAAAAGCAGCCATTGTGAAGCCCTGGGTGTGGCCTTAGAAACGGATGTTCCTGTGGGCTTGGGACAGTAATAAACCATGTGACTTTGAATAAATCACTTTCCCTCTCTGGGCCTTAGTTTCTTCTCGCTTAGGCTAGCTAGGACCCCTGGCGCCCCCGGTCCGTCCCCTCACTCCTGTGTTAAAGAGAAGTTAGGAGATAGACTCTAGGGCCACACTGCAGATAGAATGAAGATGAGAGAAGCTGCACGAGCTGTTGTGAGGACGAACGTGTGCGCACACGCAAAGCCTGCCGTGTCCACTCTGTGCGGGTGCCTGTGCGTGCTCCACAGACGGTCATTGTTGTTACTGTTATCACGAGAGTGAAAGAAACTACAGCAGTTCCCTGTGTCTGTATAAGGCCTGGATTAGAGGCCAGCTGGTTTGGAGGCAGTTGAATGGCCGGGTTGACCTCGGGAGGACCTCAGGGGGCAGGAAGGGAGCTGTTTGCCCCCCTTGGCTGCAGACACCCAGAGAAACCCAGGGCTCCACTCCCACCCAGGGGATCCTCCACTGCTGAGCAGCAGGCCGGGCCTGGCTGGAATACGGTCCGAGGGGCCTGCAAGGGAGAGGAGGAGGCCTCTCCCGAGAGGAGAGAAGCACAACTTCCAACGTACAAAGACAGCCGAGCCAGCCTGGGACCCTGGGTCTGGCTCCTGTGACCCCACTGCTGGCCTCGTGCCTAGGGCCCGGGCCGTGCCTAGGGCCTGTCTGTAGGCAGAGGTCCTGGACCCTGTGGCAGAGACAGAGGTGGTGCCGGGGCTGGGCGGGGGCTCCGTCCTCGTGACATGGGGGTCATCTGTGACATGTGGAGTAAGGGTCTCAGCCGGGGCTGGGCAGGGGCCTCCCAGCTGCTGTTTAACGGGTGCTACAGAGTACACGCCACTGCGTCCAGCCAGGAGGCCCGCCCGGACTGGGAGTGGACTTCCTGCGGACCGATCACCTTCTCCGCCAGGCCCTGTGCCACTTCCAAGTGGCTGAGCCAGGACTCAAACCCGGGTGTTAGCCCTAGGTCTGCCGGTGGCCCATCTGAGTGGGATTTTCTGGGCTCAGTTTCTCCACCTGCCTGCCCTTCCGTGGGGGAGGTCGGATTTCCTGTGACGTCAGTGAGGCTCACACTTCGGGGCCCCTCACCTGCGTGGGCCCCTTCCAGGCGCCTAAACTTTTTCTTTTATATGTTTTTAAACTCTTATTTATTTATTCAGCTGCACCACATGGCTTGTGGGATCTTAGTTCCCTGACCAGGGATCGAACCCAGGCCCTAGTAGTGAAAGCGCCGAGTGCTAACCACTGGACTGCCAGGGAATTCCCAAAACTGTTTATTTATTTATTTTTAATTAATTAATTTATTTTTGGCTGTGTTGGGTCTTCGTTTCTGTGCGAGGGCTTTCTTTAGTTGTGGCGAGTGGGGGCAAGTCATCGTTGTGGTGCGCAGGCTTCTCATTGCATTGGTTTCTCTTGTTGCAGAGCACAGGTTGTGGAGCACAGGCTCTAGGCACGCAGGATTCAGTAGTTGTGGCTCGCAGGCTTTAGAGTGCAGGCTCAGTAGTTGTGGCACACGGGCTTAGTTGCTCCGCAGCATGTGGGATCTTCATGGACCAGGCAAGAACCTGTGTCCCCTGCACTGGCAGGTGGATTCTTAACCACTGTGCTACCAGGGAAGCCCCTCGATCTCCTCTTTTATAGCTGTTACCATTTGCCTTACATATTGAGGTGCTCCTATGTTGGGCGCATGACTATTTAAAATTGTTATATCTTCTTCTTGGATTGATCCTTTAATCATTATGTAGTGTCCTTCCTTGTCTCTTATAACATTATTTTAAAGTCTATTTTGTCTGATATGAGAATTGCTACTCCAGCTTTCTTTTGGTTTCCATTTGCATGGAGTATCTTTTTCCATCCCCTCACTTTCAGTCTGTATGTGTCCCTAGGTCTGAAGTGGGTCTCTTGTAGACAGCATATATACGAGTCTTGTTTTTGTATCCATTTAGCAAGCCTGTGTCTTTTGGTTGGAGCATTTAATCCATTCACAGTTAAGTTAATTATTGATATGTATGTTCCTATTGCCATTTTCTTAATTGTTTTGGGTTTGTTTTTCTAGGTCCTTTTCTTTTGTGTTTCCCACTTAGAGAAGTTCCTTTAGCATTTATTGTAGAGCTGGTTTGGTGGTGCTGAATTCTCTTAGCTTTTGCTTGTCTGTAAAGCTTTTGATTTCTCTGTTGAATCTGAATGAGATCCTTGCTGGGTAGAGTAATCTTGGTTGTAGGTGCTTCCCTTTCATCACTTTAAATATATCTTGCCACTCCCTTCTGGCTGGCAGAGTTTCTGCTGAGGAATCAGCTGTTAACCTTATGGGAGTTCCCTTGTATGTTATTTGTCATTTTTCCCTTGTTGCTTTTAATAATTTTTCTTTGTCTTTAATTTTTGTCAATTTGATTACTATGTGTCTCGGTGTGTTTCTCCTTGGGTTTCTCCTGCCTGGGACTCTCTGCGCTTCCTGGACTTGGGTGGCTATTTCCTTTCCCATGTTAGGGAGGTTTTCAACTATAATCTCTTCAAATATTTTCTTGGGTCCTTTCTCTCTCTCTTCTTCTGGGACCCCTATAATGCGACTGTTGGTGCATTTAATGTTGTCCCAGACATCCCTTAGGGTGTCTTCATTTCTTTTCATTCTTTTTTCTTTATTTTGTTCCACAGCAGTGAATTCCACCATTCTGTCTTCCAGGTCACTTATCCGTTCTTCTGCCTCAGTTATTCTGCTATTGATTCCTTCTAGTGTATCTTTCATGTCAGTTATTTTATTGTTCATCTCTCTTTGTTTGTTCTTTTATTCTTCTAGGTCTTTGGTAAATATTTCTTGCACCTTCTTGATCTTTGCCTCCATTCTTTTTCCGAGCTCCTGGATCATCTTCACTATCGTTATTCTGAATTCTTTTTCTGGAAGGTTGCCTATCTCCACTTCATTTAGTTGTTTTTCTGGGGGTTTATCTTGTTCCTTCATCTGGTACATAGCCCTCTGCCTTTTCATCTTGTCTGTCTTTCTGTGAATGTGGTTTTTGTTCCACAGGCTGCAGGATTGTAATTCTTCTTGCTTCTGCCTTCTGTCCTCTGGTGGATGAGGCTATCTAAGAGGCTTGAACAAGTTTCCTGATGGGAGGGACTGGTGGTGGGTAGAGCTGGGTGTTGCTCTGGTGGGCAGAGCTCAGTAAAACTTTAATCCACTTGTCTGCTGATGGGTGGGGCTGGGTTCCCTCCCAGTTGGTTGTTTGGCCTGAGGCGACCCAGCACTGGAGGCTACAGGCTCTTTGGTGGGGCTAATGGCGGATTCTGGGAGGGCTCATGCCAAGGAGTACTCCCCAGAACTTCTGCTGCCAGTGTCCTTGTCCTCAAGGTGAGACACAGCCCCCATCCCCGCCTCTGCAGGAGACCCTCCAACACTAGCAGGCACGTCTGGTTCAGTCTCCTATGGGGTCATTGCTCCTTCCCCCCGGGTCCTGATGTGCACACTGCTTTGTGTGTGCCCTCCAAGAGTGGAGTCTCTGCTTCCCCCTGTCCTGTCGAAGTCCTGCAATCAAATCCTGCTAGCCTTCAAAGTCTGATTCTCTGGGATTTCCTCCACCTGTTGCCAGACCCCCAGGTTGGGAAGCCTGACGTGGGGCTCAGAACCTTCACTGCAGTGGGTGGACTTCTGTGGCATAAGTGTCGTCCAGTCTGTGAGTCACCCACCCAGCCCTTATGGGATTTGATTTTACTGTGATTGCGCCCCTCCTACCGTCTCACTGTGGCTTCTCCTTTGTCTGTGGATGTGGGGCGTCTTTTCTGGTGAGTTCCAGGGTCTTCCTGTCGATGGGTGTCCAGCAACTAGTTGTGATTCCGGTGCTCTCGCAAGAGGGAGTGCGAGCACATCCTTCTGCTCCGCCATCTTGAACCAGGATTTCTGAGGGTGGCCTCTTGATTCGGCCTTGGCAGTGGGGAGAGGTCAGCTGGGGGCCCCATGTGGCCTTGGCCGTGCTCTCTGGTTGCAGCCCAGGTGGCTGACAGCCCACTTGTCTCGCCTCTTCCCTGCACCAGCAGCTCCCTCACTCCCACTGCTGCGGCCCCTCTGGGCTCAGCCATGCCCAGCAGGACAGGGCAGGTCCCGGAGGTGGAGAAAGGAAGTAATAACTGCCGCTCAAACCCTCTCGCTCTGCCTCTCCCCACCAGTGCCCTCTTTATGGTCTAATCCTACCCGTGGTCAATGCAGCTCAAGGCTCACCTGGCCGCCCAGCCTGAGCTGGCCCCTCCTCCTCTGAGCACTTGGCATGGTCCCGTCGGACACGGGCGCAGGGCCATCATGTGGGCACACTTCTCTCCTCCACCGGGGGGTGAGCTCTGGAAAGCAGAGAACCCCTTGTCCTGATCTCATTTACGGTAAGGGAGGACATGGGGCCTGGTCGTCCTGGGGGATCTTGCAGCATCACCTCTAGGAGGCTGGGCCCACAGCAAGCACTCGTGTGACCCGTTGACGGTCTAGCTGGAGCCGTGGAGCTGTGCTTGGCTGGGTTCCCTGTGTCCGGGTTAGGGCCACGGGTTCCTCTCTGGAGACACTCTGTGTCTTGGCACCTGCGTCCCCCGTCCCCCTTGCTGCCCACAGACAGGGCACACATCCTGTCAGGTCCCGCTCATTAATGGAGGTGGTGGGGACCGTGGGAGCTGCCCGGGGGAAGGGCCAAGGAGGAGGCTGCCAGGCTGCAGTGGGGGAGGCTCTGAGGGGGCTTTCCGAGCTGTGCGCCCACTGGCCAGAGATCCACAGCCCTGTCACCCTGCTCTCAGGTTAGCAGTCCCCCAGCGAGGCCTCGGCTTCCTCTTGCTGCTAGGAGATCCCTGGGATCTCAGGAGGGCGGGAGGGGCCCCGCAGAATCCTCACCCCAAGTGCCGCTCAGGTTGGGGAGGGCCGGTGAGGGGCCCTTGAGCTCGCCTGTCTTTGTCCTGGTCCTTCCGCTGAGTGGATGTTGGCGTCTCCACAGGTCGGAATGAGCTGATCGCCCGCTACATCAAGCTCCGGACAGGGAAGACCCGCACCAGGAAGCAGGTGGGCCCTGGGGCAGGTACCCTGGCACTGGTGGGCTCCCAGGGTGGGCCCGGCCCTCCGCAGGACTGGGTGTGGACTCTGGGGGCCAGCTTGGGAGGGGTCCTCTGCTGGGTGTGCCACAGATGGTCAGTTTCCCTGGGGTCCCTTCTGCCATCGCCTGGGAGGAGACCCCTCCCCATCCGACTGCACTTGTATTTAACTGGGAGAGGTGGGACCGAGGTCCCATCAGTGACTGATCCTTTCATTCATTCGTTCGTCCATTCAGTCTGTGATGGGATGGGGGGCTGTGGAGGGCCGAGGGTCAGGGGAGCCGGCCGTCGGGGAGACAGGAACCCCTCTTCCCGCCACAGGTGTCCAGCCACATCCAGGTTCTGGCTCGGCGCAAAGCCCGCGAGATCCAGGCCAAGCTGAAGGTAAGGCCAGGGCCGCAGCGGGAGGGCTCGGGTGGGCCAGCCTCCCGGGGCTGGGGCTCTTCTCCCAGGAGGAAAAGTCTTCCCTTGGGTTTGGGGGCTGGCTGCTTACGTGTGGAGCCAGTGAGCTTCTCAGTGCTGAGGAAAGTGGGGTTCAGCCTGTAACCTCTCTCCCACCCGCACAGAGGACGTTGACTGGGGGCCGTGTCTATGTGTCTGTGTGTGAATGGCCGGGCTCACAGCATCCTGGGAGATACAGGCCGGTCTCCTGCTGTGCTCCCTGCCTGCCCCCTGCAGCCCAGAGGAACCGGGCACACCCTGAGTCCCACGGTTAGAGCAGCAGGACTGCCCTCCAGACCCCGTTTCTTGCAGACCGTGTGGCCCCTTACTGCCGTCACCCAGATCCTGTGGGTGGCAGGCCTGCAGGGTGGGGTCCACGCTGGGGGAAGGGCTGGTGGGGCTCCCTGGATCAGCCCCACCTTGCAGGCCTGTCTGCCAACAGGCGACTGCTACACGGGGGGCCAGCCGCTGGTGGGAGTCCCCTCGCCACGGGCCTCGGGCCTCCTGGACCCTGGACCCAGGGGCCCTTGGCTGAACCCTGGCAGGGAGCAAGCTACCCATCACGGTGGGTGTAACAGAAGAGTCTATGGCTTCTTGGTAGGAGGAGCCAGCACTTGGGGCTGAGACCAGTAAATCACAGGCATTTTAATTTTATTTTTATGTTTTGGCCGCACTATGTGGCTTGCGGGATCTTAGTTCCCCGACCAGGGATTGAACCCGGGCCCTCGGCAGTCAAAGCACAGAGTCCTAACTGCTGGACCGCCAGGGAATTCCCCACAAACATTTTTTAAAGCAGTGGAAGCCCTTTCGTTTTTCTCCCAAATTAAAGATCACCCCGATCCGTTATCAGAGGAGCTACTCTGGTCAAAGCTAGGTTGGCGAGAAGCAGGGTAGGGACCCTTCGTGCTAGTCACCTCTCAGCCCCCATGACTCTCGAACCCGAAAGCATCCCAGAACCCAGTTTAAAAGCCCCTGGACTAGAGGACCATGGAGGCCCCATCTGGCCCCGTTGTCCGTGACCCTGACACTGGAGGCTCTGACGGCGTGGGTGGGAACTCCCAGGAGGCCCCATTCCTCCTGCATCAGCCCAGCTGTCCCCCGCCCCTCACAGCTGTGGCCCAGCCCTTGCTCCTTTGTCCCCGGGACAGCTGGCTGGGCCGCAGCTGCTGGTCTCTCCCTCTCAGGCCGGCACATGTGTGTCCGGACATCCCCAGCCCTGCAGCCCACTTGCCCCTCACTCCCCGCTCTGGTCAGCCTGTGACTCACCAGGGCCTGGTAGGGGACCGGGTGGAGAGCCGAATGTCCAGGGTTCTGTTTAGAGCCATCGAGGGGAGCTTTGCATTCCTGTGGGGGCCGGCTGTACGGCCCACGTGTGCTCGAGGAACTGAACCTGTCCCTGTCCACAGGCTCTAACGTGGGGCTGGGAACAGCCTCTGTGGACCGCTGGACAGGCTTCAGGGGGAGCCATGGACCCCTTCAATAACATGCACATTTTCATGCATTTTTCGGGGAAGATTGGTCTGAGGATTTTGTCATATTCTCCAGAGGGTCTGGGGCCCAATGTAGTTAAGCTCCCTGGTGGATGGCAAGGTCAGGTAGAAGTCCTCGGGTCACAGCCCTGGTCTGGCCTGGCTCTGCCCTGGGCTGTGGGCCCTCTGCCATGTCACCCACCTGCCTCGAGCTCCATCCAGCTTCCCCGCCTGTAAAATGACAGGGTTGAGCAAGGTGGTATCTGAGGTCCCCTCCAGCCGCAAAATTCAGTAGCCTGGTCACTGATGTCACCCCGCACTCCCACCTGATTCCTGTCCCACTCGCTGGTCCCTGGCCGTTCGTTTAGACTGGCCATCGGGAGGAAGGGACTCAGGTTGCCGACACAGGGCTGGAGCTCTCTGCCCTCCCACCACTGCAGTTGTTAACAGAGGTTTGTGGGCCTCCTGGGGCGTGGCCTGCCACCCCATTCGTGTCCTGGAGGGAGCGGGCCTGGGCATGTATGGCATCTCCCTCCTGACATCAGCAGAGCCCTTGGGGAGAGACAGCCTGATGCTTTGGTTATCAGAGACAGCCTCAGAGCAAGGCCCAAGTTTGGCCCCAAAAGGACAGTGGGCTGGGGAGTCCCACCACTCAGCGCGGCCTCCCGGGCCCTCTGTGCTGAGGATGGGTGCCGGCAGATCCTGATATGCCCCCTCCTTGGTTTGCTCAGCCCCCCGGGCCTGCAGAGGTCAGAGGTCATGGATGTGCCATCCCGGACGGACCTTAAGGGCCTACTGTCACGTGACCCCTGTCAACACCCAAGTCCCCTAAATCCTCTGAGCCTCAGTTTCTTCATCTTAGAATGGGGAGCCTACGAGTCCTGCCAGCCTCACGGGGGTGCTGAGATGTTCAGAACCAAAGTGAGACAGCGTTCTTTACCTTCCGGGGGCCGTCTCGTGTGTGCCCCATGAGCATAAGGGGCCCCTGAGAAGCCGAGTGGAAGGGCCTGGCCCCAGAACTCATCGTGCAGGATGCTGGACGCACCACCTGGACCCGTCGGGCCTGACGCCGTGGTGATGCTACCCACCGGGCGAGTGAAGTCATATGCCAAACCAGCTGTGGGCTGAAAGGACCTCCCTCAGCAATTAGCTTGCTTATTACTCAGGACAGATTTGGGTCCACCAATCTGATTATTAAATAAAGTGCCCACTTATTTTTCCCTTTTAAAAAGTAATTCATCCTAAAGATACAGAATTTCTAATCAGAGCTCGCGAGTTGACATAAACCAACCTTTTGTCTCCAATAGTGCTACCCATACTGAATAATACTTGCTGTTCAGTCTGTATGTGTGGTCTTCTTTTGGACCCACTAGGCTTTCTGACATACAGTATGTTGTCTTATTGGTTTTGAAGACCTTTGGGATTGGAGAGCTCAGGATGGGGGACCACTGGCTAATACAAGTAGTAACCACGTATTATGACTATTGTTATTGTAAGCAGGCCGTACTGCTGATTTGCTCGGAGCCTCTGCGGGTGAACCCGTTTTGGAGGGGTCTTTGGACCGTAGAGGGGACCCACAGAGGGCAGAGAATTGGTATTCGCATCCTGGCACGTAAAAGGTTCGGGAGCCATGGGTGCCCGTGGTACAGTAGAGATCCACAGGCCAGGGCTAAGACGGGGGCCACAGGAGACCGTCCCTTGTCACCGTCCATGTGACTGAGGATGACCCCTGCCCAACAGATATTCATGCACCATCTCCCAAGGGCCAGGTGAGAGGCCCCAGCCACCCCTGGTGAGCAAGACCTGGGTGGTCCCTGTGTCCCTGAGGTTGGTAACAGGAGAGCAATGGTCTGGCAGGTAGCCTCCAAAGTCTCTTTAAACCCTAATGAGACTGGCAGGGCAAGTGATGTGCCCCTTTGACGGATGAGGAAGGTGATCAGAGCCACCGAGTGACTTATTCAAGTCACAGGACCGGTTCCCAGCCCTGCAGAAACGTGAGCCTGGTCCCCAGGGCCGAGTCCAGGGTCTGACTTCCCTGTCACCAGCTGGACCCGCCTCTCCCGACCTGCCACGGTGCCCACACTGAGGCCTCCCTCGATGTCTCCCCAGGATCAGGCAGCTAAGGACAAGGCCCTGCAGAGCATGGCTGCCATGTCGTCCGCCCAGATCATCTCTGCCACAGCCTTCCACAGTAAAATGGCCCTCACCCGGGGCCCAGGCTACCCGGCGGTCTCAGGGGTAAGTGGGGCTGCCTGGAGTCGGAGGCTGGACTGCCCCGTCCTTCTCACTCCTTCCCCTTCCAAGGCACTGGCCACACCAGAGTCCTCACTTGAGTCCTCTCGGGCCAGGAGAGCCGGGGAAGGAGAGACCAAGGACCGAGGGGCCATGCAGTCGCCGGGACCGCCCTCCTGGGGGCCTCGGCAGTGACAAGGGTGCAGCCGCCCCGTCACACGGCCACCTGGGGGCTCTGCAGAGTTGGCCCCGTTTACAGAAGAGGAGGCTGAGGCCGGGCTTTGGGGCGGCGCCGGTATGTTCGGAGGAGCCGCTCTGCCCCGCCCCCAGCTCAGCCTCGTACCCCCTCCGCCCTCAGGGGCTCCTTCCAGGTAAAGGGCTGATGTCCAGGAACAAAGTCCTCTCGAATTTTAAACTGAGAATGGGTCTCTTGGCCGTGGCCACGTGGGTCCCGCTCTAAGAACAGTCCAGAGAGGCCCCTCCTCCCCGGGGCTGAGTCCTCCCAGGGTGTTGTAGGCTGTTGGGACTGACGCACCGCCCCAGGCCCTGTGTCCGGGGAGGCTCTCGTCCAGCATTTTTCCGAGTGTGTCCAGAGGCCGCTAGTCCGGAAGGGTGTTGAGTGGACAGGACGACGGGACAAATGAGTGCACACGTGACTCGGGCACTCAAGTCTCAATAGGGTGCCTGACTCCAGATCTCTTGAGAGTCCTGCGTGCCACTGTCACCAGGCATCTGTCCCCGAGGAAGGGGACGAGTGCCGTGTTTGCAAGCCTGGGGGCTTCTCTTGGGAGCCCCTTATCGGCAGGCGTTCCAGAGGCTGGAGGTCCTTGCAGCGCTCTCGGGGACGCCGTGCTGCCTGGCTCTAGGCAGGCACCCTTCCCAGGCGCAGGCCCTGGCCTCGCCCTCCAGCTGAGCCCCTGCCCGGTCTGTCTCTCGACGCAGCTGGCCGCGCACACTGGGCTCTGCTGACCCTGTGCTTTTGTCTCCTCAGTTTTGGCAAGGAGCTTTGCCGGGCCACGCCGGAACGTCCCACGAGTGAGTATGGCCACCGTGCTGCCCCGTTGCTCCCTGGGCTGTGCTTGAGCCCGTGAACTCGTGCCGCTGACCCAGGCCTGAGGGTGGGAGAGCCGCAGTCTGGGGTCAGCCTTTCCGGATGGCCCTGCGCTTACGGATGAGGCTCTCCTGCTCTCGGGCACCCTGGGGTGGCGTTTGCTGAAGCCCCAGTCTATCCGGGGCGTAGCAGAACCTGAGCTCAGGACCCCGAGGGGAGCAGTCTAGGAACCAGCCCTCTGGCTGGCCTGGGAGGGAGGGAGGAGGGGTGGGTTTTCCAAACAGACCCGCTGCTTCTGTGGGTCGGCCAGAATCCCGAGGGAGCGGGAGGCCAGAGCCACTGACCACCCGGGCCTGCCTCACTGAAGACAGCGTTGGAGCCTGACCGAGGCTCTAGGGCTGCCACCTGCCCCCAGGCCCATGCGTCCTCTCTCGTCTCCCACAGTGTGAAACCTTTCTCTCAGCAAACCTACACTGTCCAGCCGTCACTGCCTCTGCCAGGTGGGTCAGCAGGCTCTGCCTCCCTCGTGCATCACACCCCTGTGGTTCCTGCTCCGGGTCCCAGGCCCTGACTGCTAGACGCCCCTAGCAGTCCCCTTAGATGCTGCCCTGGCACGTGCTCTCACCGTGCACCCCAGCTCCCAGCTCCACCTCGATCCTCTTCCAGGAGCCAAGCCCCCTGCGCCCCCAGGGCTGTCTGTCCTCCCCAAGCCCCTCCCCAGCGAGGCTCAAGGCTGGCAGGGTGCGCACAGCTCAAGGGGCAGTGCCTGCGCCCCGGGGTGGCCACTCCACCTGCGTGTGTGCCCTGTCCTGCTTGGCTTCTGGGATGGCTTCCCTCTGTGACACTGTAATCCTCTCCTTCAAGACGGGGGTCCAGCAGAGCATGGCTTTCCAGCCTGGAGCCCCTGGTTAGCAGAGGGAAGGCTCCTGGCATGAGCCAGATGGAGGTCCAGCTGGGCAGCATGGAGCTCCCGCCTTCCCCGCTCACGTGACCCGCTCTGTCCCTGCCTCTTTCTCAGGAAGGTCCCTCCACCTTCCGCTCTGCAGGGCGAGATAGGATCCTCACCCTCACCCTCCTTTCCTGGCTTGGGAATGGCTCCTGCCTGCCCAGTGGCCTGGCTTTTCCTGCTCTGAGAGCGGGCCCTGCCACCCTCCTTAGGTTCCTGACGGTTGCTTGGGGGCCTTCCACCCCCTCTAGTCCGTGCTCTCCCCTCACGGCGCCCCCACCCCGTCTGCAGTCACATCCCCGCTCTTACCCTCTGTAACTCACCTGTCATCTTTTTTTTTTTTTTTAATATTTATTTATTTGGCTGCGTCGGGTCTTAGTTGTGGTGCGAGGGCTTAGTTGCCCCGCAGCGTGTGGGATCTTAGTTCCCCGACCAGGGATCGAACCCGCGTCCCCTGCATTGGAAGGTGGATTCTTAACCACTGGACCGCCAGGGAAGTCCATCCATCATCTTTTTAAAGCATCAATCTCACCGTGCTGCTTCCAGCTTAGAATCTGTTAGTGGCTCCGTGGTGCCTTCAGGACACAATCTAAGCTTAACTGTCACTCTCTGTGCCCTGGGCAGCGTCTGGGGCTGGTGTCTGTGTCTGTCTTCTGTGTGTCGGGTCACATCCGGTGTGCACGCCGCGCTTGAACAAATGAACGAGTGATTCGGCTCACCCGTCAAATGCCAGCCGGTGTGCCCAGCATGGTCCTCCGCCCGCCCCCCGCCGTCCCTTTTCTCTTTCCTCCCCGGGCTTCTGACGTACCTGCCTCACTGCCCTCTTGTCCCGTCCGCCACCAAGCCCCGGGGTCTTGCTCCCTCCGTGTCCCTCCTGTGTCCCCTTCTCTTCACTCCACTGCCCTCTTCATTTTCCCACTTGGGAAGAACCCACAAGGCCTGCGCCTCTCGTCCACCTTGCCCCAGCCCAGTCCTTCCCCCACTCGGAACAGGATCTTCAGAAACGCACAGCCGGTCGCTCCTCCGCCCCGCCTAAAATCCTCCTATCGCCCTCCTGAGCTCAGGCTGAATACTGGACCCCTTACCTAGCAGCCAGGGCCCGTCTCTTCAGCCTCGTTTCCAGCCCCGACACAAACCCGCCCTCCCCGTCACATCTGCCAGACGGAGCCTCCGAGCTCACGGTGCATCTCGCGGCCCCGTGCCCTCTGCCTGGAGCCCCCTTCCCCTGTCTGCACCTGCTGCCTCCCACTCTTACCCAGTAACCTTTTTCAGCATCACCTTCAGGTGGCCTTTTCTGACGCTCTTCAAGGTGGACTAGGGGCCCCCCTCCCCCGCTGTGCTGGGCACCTTCCTGTCTGTTTTCCTCACGTTCATTGCTTCGCTTACTCGCCAGCCAGCAGCCAGTCCCCCTTGAACGCAGTTCCGTGCAGGGGCCCGAGGGGACTGAGCTGTTCCAGGCTGAGCTCCCCGCCAGGGCTGCCCCCGGACCGCTGGCCAGTTCTCTGCCTGCCCACCCCCTCCCCGGCTGGGAGACCCCGTTAAGGCAGACAGCAGGTCCCCCAGCCAGTCTGGGGGCTTGGCGGAGGGTGCGGCAGGGAGGCCCTGTGGACCGGCTCCCATGTGCCTTCCACTGTGCGCAGGGTTCGAGTCTCCCGCAGGAGCCTCCCCGTCGCCCTCCGCGCCCCCAGCACCCCCGTGGCAGGGCCGCAGTGTGGCCAGCCCCAAGCTCTGGATGCTGGAGTTCTCTGCCTTCCTGGAGCGGCAGCAAGACCCCGAAACGGTAGGTCCTGGCCTCCCTCTGGCCGCTCTCCCGCCTGGTGCTCACTCCTGGGGCGGCGGCTCCCCTGCTTCCCCCAGCTCCTCTTCCTCTGGCTCTGGCTTTCTCGCCCTGCTCTCTGCCCCACTCCACCTTGGGGCCGAGCTTAGGGTCCTTGTTGCTTTCCATCCCCCCTTATCCTTCCATCCTCTCCCTCCCCGCTTCCTTCTCACTGGACCTTCCCTCTGTCCCTGGCTCTGTTTCTGCTCCCCACCCCAAGCCCTCGCTCGGTTCCTGTGCCCCATCCCGGTGCCCCAAGGCTCTGTCCCTTCCCTGCTCCCACCGTGTCCACCTTCTTCCCGGTCCGGCCACCTCTCCGTCTGAAGGCACTGGTCCCAGTCCTGCCCGCAGGCCCTGTGGCTCTGAGGAGTCTCCTGTCTGCCCCGTGTCCTCGGGGACACCAGCAGGAGCAGCAGCCCACCCCCATCCCGCCCCCTTCAGTGTCTCCGTCCTGGGTGACCGGCGTCACCTGCAAAGTTCAGAGGAGCACCTGGCCAGGTGGACAGGATGCCAGAGTCGGGGGGTCTTCACTGACCATTTCACTTTGAAATGTTCAAGCTTATGGTTTAGATGAGGAGCCCAGCGTGGACCACGAAAGAAGCGGCTCTTCTTTAGCTGCAGCAAGGGACCACAGCCGCCGCTTCCGGGGGGAAGCACCCCCGTATGGGCCGCTGGTCTTCCATCACAGACGAGATCACGGGGGTCCAGAGATAGAAAATGAGTCGCCTAAGGGTGTTGGCGACAGAGTCAAGACTCAGTACAAATAGCGACCAGAATGTGCCGAGCACCCGCTGGGGGTCACCCTGCCCCAGGTGCTGGACACCTGTCGACTCTGCTTTACACTCAGCCCTTCTACCGGCTCCGTTTTACCAGAGGGGAAACTGAGGCCCCCGCCGTGGCGTCCCTGCTCTGGGCCACTGGCCGGGCTCCGAGCCCCGGTCTGTCTGTTCTGTCTGCCCCGCCACCCCCATGGCCCCTCAGAACAGTTCTTCTCTGTCCACAGTACAATAAGCACCTGTTCGTGCACATCGGCCAGTCGAGCCCCAGCTACAGCGACCCCTACCTCGAAGCCGTGGACATCCGCCAGATTTACGACAAGTTCCCTGAGAGGAAGGGTGGTCTCAAGGAGCTCTTTGAACGGGGACCCTCCAATGCCTTTTTCCTCGTGAAGTTCTGGGTGAGCCTTGGATGACCTCCTCCTTCCCACCCCAGCACGTCGATGACCGCAGGGAGAAAGGAGGAGGGGTGGGCCTTGGCGGTGGTGGGACCTGGGACATGCAGGACAAGAGCGAAGGGCCAGCACAGAGCGGCCCTCTGGTGCCGGGAGCTCAGACCAGATGGGGCCATTGGTGCCGCAGAGCAAGGCCCCCTCCTGATGGCGGGGGATGGTCACGCCTGGGCAGAAGTGTGGCCTCAAGGGGTCTGTAGTACCAGAGAGGACCTACAGGAGACCTGAGGGGTAGTCACCCAAGGCTTTCAATGCCAAGGTTTCCGGGCCCGCAGCGGGGCAGCCGTTGGGCTGGGTGGGGCTTGGAGAAGTGGACGGTAGGCTTAGGCTGGGTCATCCCCAAAGAAACACCGAGCTTCTCCAAGAGCTCAGCCTGTAGCTCGGCCTCCGCCGCCCTCCCCAGCTCACCCCTGCATGGGTGCTGTGTGGGTAGAGCCTCCTTCTTTTGAAACCTCCTCCAAGACCAGGAGGCATAGGACCTCTTCCAGGGGCCCAGCACCCACAGAAAAGGGATGCCGGGAAGAGGGACAGGGCAGGAGAAGCCAGCGGGAGGAAGTGCAGGAAATCCTTCTGGCTGGTGATCAGAGCCTCCGAATCGTCTCAGAGCCCGGAAGCTGGGCCTTTATTTGGTCTCGGACCACTTTGATAACCTGAAAGCTGTGCTTTTCCTAGAAGTGGGCATATTCACACGAAAGTGTACATGCAGTTCCAGGTGGCTTACTGGTCCCTGGCTAGGAGCTCTTAGCCTAGCCCTCATCCGCAACCGAATCTGTGGGGCTGGCTGTCTACAGAAAAGGCAGGAACCGGAGACCCAGGGCCCGGATCCCAAAGAGGCTCAGTGTTTGCCCTTGCAGGACAGCTTGCTCTGCGAGCCGATGGAGGTTGGCCCTGGGCCTTCAGGGATGGGCAGAGTTAGGCGGAAAAGGGGAAGGGCCTCCAGGGGGGCTAGTCATGGGTAAACGTGTAAGAGAGGGAACCGCGGAAAGTAAAACGGGAGAGGTGAGTCTGATCCTGGAAGGTCCTGATCCTACAAAGGTCTGGATTTGATTCTCTGCTGGGATGAAAAATAGGTAATAGTTTCTTTTACTGTATCTTATTTTTAAATCAGTGCACGTTCATAGTTATTAATACCAAAAGGCTTACAACTGAAAACCGTCAGGTTGTCGTCTGCCTCCTCCCAACCCCAAGCCCAATCCCGAGAGGCAATCACTGTCAAATGTCCCTGTTTATTCTGGGTTTTATCTCCCTAGTTCTAAGTATCTGCTTATATTGCTCCACTTTGATATCGCGACTCTGTGTTGTGTATTTATGGTAGAAAAACACTGGCTATATTATAGCACTTTTCCCCTCATCGTCCCAGTGAGTTTTATAATTTAGTCAAAGCAATAAAGGGTTTAGACTTTGTGACAATGTAGATTGACCACCAGAGTGTGTGATAATTACATGTCATTTCTTGTGCAACTTTTTGTTTTCTCCTAAAAATAAATGGCCCTTTCGCTTGCACATTTCTAAAAAACCTACGATTAAAATTTTACAAATTGTTCTATCATAACCAACATATAAAATTTAAAAAAACTGTTTTTCACGCAGTGCTCAGGCCTGTCAGAGAATTTATCCTTTGTCCCTTTCTCCTTCTGGATGCCCCTGTTCTGCTCCAGTTTGAACCGGTTTTCCTCCAGGCCTGCTCAACAGCTGTCCCGAGACCTCTGTTTACTGCTCCTCTGTTTTGAATCTACAGTTTCCTAGATCTCATATTTCTCTCTTTTTTGGTGTTCCCCCCTCATTTTGCTGGAATACATTCTCTAGTCCCTTCCTAAGAAAAGGTGCATGGTAGATAAATGTTCTAAGTCTACCTGTTTGAAATGTCATTTCTTTTCAGTACTTGATTCATAGTTTGGGTACAGAATCTCCATCGTAAATGATTTTCCCTAGAAGTGGTTTTCAAGAATCATTTTTTGGTTGCTCCGATGTCTTATGAGAGTCCGGTAGTACCCTAATTCTCTGTTCTTTGTTATGTAACTCTTGTCTTTAGCCTCTAGGAGTTTTGCGTTTCCTCTCTGTTCCCTACGTTAAATTTCACATTGATGATCTTTGGGATCTGTGTTGTTTTTCTTCCTATTTTTGAGCCAGGTCCTTGGTAGGCAGTGAGATGAGAGTCTCTCAGTTCGGTAACTTTACTTATATTATTTCTTCTTCTTTGTTTTCTCTGTGTTCTTTTCCAGGAACCCCTGTTAGTCTGATGTTGGATATCCTGGACCTATCCTCTCTGATTTTTACCATTTATTTATTTTCCAATTCATTTTCTTAGAGACTTTCTTAACTTTATCTTCTAATTTAAGAGTGAATCTGAGTGAATATTCCATAAAACCCAAAGTAACATTGGCATGAATGAATAGTTCTTCTTTCATGTAAAGTAAGTCTGGAGGTAGAGTGTCCAGGTCTGGTCCAGCAGCTCCGTGAAATTACCAGAGACCCTACTCTTCTCTATCTGCCACCCTCAGTGTGTGGCTTCTGTCCTTAAGGTCAAGGCTGCTGGGGTTCCAGCCATCACATCCATTTTTCAGGCATCAGGAAGGGGGAAAGCCAACTTAGTTCCCTTTAAGGAGCCTTCCTGGAAGTCCCACACAATTCTTAATTAGTTGTCTGTTTGCATGTAGCTGCAAAGGAGCCAGAGAAATGTACTCTTTTCGTTGAGTAAGTTGCCATTCTGAATAAAATCAGGGTTCTGTTACTACAGAAAATGAACGACGCTTTCAATTGTTGGTGTGTCATAGTTTAACTGATGGCATTTTTTTCTTAATTGTTTGTAAAATCTTGGTGCGTTGTACATTTAGTGGTGAAATAGATTAACGGAATATGGTGGCATTCTCTGCCCACCCCCACCCCGCCCCTTGTATCGAATATTTAATTTTGACCATGACGTTTTTAATTTTTAAGAGCTCCTTCTTCTTCTTTGATTCCATCCTGATCTTGTTTCACGGCTATTCTTTTAAGTTTTCTTCTGCTCCCTTTGTTTCCTTTTAGTCCCTTTTTCTGTCTGGGTCTTTGTCTTTCAAGTTGGAGGATTTTCTCAAATGTCTATAATTCTTGGCCAGGGTTTTTGGTCCTCATTTTTTTGACAGCGTTATTGCTGTGTAACTCACTTACCGTATAATTCACCGACTTAACGTGTACAATTCGGTATTTTTAGTATATTCACAGAGTTCTGCAGCCAGGTAATTTTAGAACATTTTCATCACCCCCAAACCCATTAGCTATCACCTCCACCCCCAGCCTTAGGCAACCCTAAGCTGCTTTCTGTCTTTATAGCAGTTTTAGATATTTCACATAAATGGAATCTTACAATATGTAGCCTTTTGTGACTGGCTTCTTTCACTTAATGTTAAGTTTTTAAGGTTTAGTCATATTCTAGCACATATCAGGACTTCATTCCTTTTTATGGTTGAGTAATAGCCCACTGTCTGGATAGACCACATTTTGTGTATCCATTCATCCGTCAGTGATGGGCATTTGGGTTGTTTCCACCTTTGGGCCATCGTGAATAATGCTGCTATGAACTTAATATACAAGTCTTTGTGTGGACATAGCTTTTCATTTCTCTTGGGTAGATACTTAGGCATGGAATTGCTGGATCATATGCACTATTTATTTATTTATTTTTGGCTGTGTTGGGTCTTCGTTGTTGCGCGGGCTTTCTCTAGTTGTGGCGAGTGGGGGCTACTCTTTGTGGTGCGTGGGCTTCTCATTGCTGTGGCTTCTCTTGTTGCAGAGCACAGGCTCTAAGCATGTGGGCTTCAGTAGTTGTGGCTTGCGGGCTCTAGAGCGCAGGCTCAGTAGCTGTGTTGCACGGGCTTAATTGCTCTGCGGCATGTGGGATCTTCCCGGACCAGGGCTTGAACCTGTGCCCCCGGCATTGGCAGGCAGATTCTTAACCACTGAGCCACCAGGCAAGTCCCCTCTTTTTGCATTCTTGACAGTGTCCTTTGAAGCACAACCTTTTCCATTTTGATGAAGTCCAGTGTATCCTTCCTTTTGTTATTCGGGCCTTTTGTCCATGTCCAGTGACTGGGAACTCTGTGGACAAGGTGTGGGCCTTGTTACCTGCTGGGCTTCTCTTTTCAGGTGGTCGGGGTTGGGGAACCAGCTGCTTTATCGAGGACGCTAGTAAATGTCAGCATACTTACTGGACCTTTTCCTTTCCTGAAGTGGTTCAGTTTCTCCAAAGAAGACTCCTACTGTCCCCCCACCCCTTGGCAGGGACAAACGAACATTCTAGCAGTGGGGCAGGGAGAGGGCTAGGGGAGCAGACCGTTTCTTAGGCAGCGTTCACCTCATACCCTGGCTCCCACCCCCTCTCCTGACATGCCTGGGGGCCCAAAGACCTGACACCCTCCTGTTTAATTTCTTCTCCTGATGTGTGAAGAGTGGGGGCCCGGAGGCCTGACCACCCAGTGTACAGCCTTTCAGCCGGTTCCTTGTGTCATATCCTGTGCCTCCCTGGCCATCACTGTCCTGGCCCCTGTCGTCCTGAGTGGTGCTGACTTCTCATCCGTCACCCCTCTGAGGGCACTTTCAGGCTGTAACTCTTCTTGCGTCCGTTTCCCCGCAGAAGCCATCCTAGCTTAGATCAGCTGTCAGTCCCCTGGAATTTGTTGAATTCTCCTGTCCGTTTGGTCTTTCCTCCGTTTCTTCGTGTGTGTGTGGTACAACGCATTAAAAAAAGGTCTTTGCGCTCATCCTGCTGGCTCTCTGGACGGGGAAATGTGAACTTGTACGGTCAGTCTCCTTTTTTTTTTTTTGCAGTACACGGGCCTCTCACTGTTGTGGCCTCTCCCGTTGCGGAGCACAGGCTCCGGACGCGCAGGCTTAGCGGCCATGGCTTACGGGGCCCAGCCGCTCCATGGCATGTGGGATCCTCCCGGACCGGGGCATGAACCCGCGTCCCCTGC